ATGCATATGCATCCGAAGAAGTGGGCTATAGTCCACGAAAGCTTATGCTCTAATAAATTTGTTAGTCTCTAAGGTGCCACAAGTCCTCCTGTTCTTCTTTTTGCGGATACAGACTAACACGGCTGCTACTCTGAAATCATATAAATGGTCATATTCAATCATACAGCATCACAATGATTTCTAACAAAACAGTGATTGTCAAGTGTGGGGATGGTTCAAGTCCCCAGTGTCATATGAACAATGGATTTCCGTAAGGATCTGTACTGCTCTTTACTCCTGAGGGAATACTGCACACGCCCATAATTCATGTCCTGCTGCAGATTTTTTCCCCCAAGATAGCCCAGTACAGCCATACAAACATTGAATCTATCTCCCCATGTAAGTATTATCACACTTCTTATCAAACGGTTTGTACTGGGCTATCTTGATTATCACTTCAAAATTTTTTTCTCTTACTTAATTGGCCTCTCAGAGTTCCTTTTCATGCTCTCTGTATGTGTATATATATCTCCTCAATATATGTTCCATTCTATGCATCCAAAGAAGTGGGCTGTAGCCCATGAAAGCTTATGCTCTAATAAATTTGTTAGTCTCTAAGGTGCCACAAGTACTCTTGTTCTTTTCGCGGATGCAGACTAACACGGCTGCTACTCTGAAACCATTCACTGAGTAGTTTCTATTGATTTCATTAGGTGCCTAAATACCTTTGTAGATCTCACCCTACCTGGCCGATTGTTTTAAAGGGTTTTAAATTGTATTACGTTTCACACTGTTTCCTGGCACCCTGAGGTGGGATTGTTTTCTCAGAAAAATGTTGCTATATCTAACATCCTTGCTAATCTCCAATTGGGTATATTCCATGCTGGAATCGGCCTCTTTCTGCAAAACACACTAGCTTTAAAAACCCTGCTCCTTGCTGTTCTTTTGAAACGGGACAAAGTGAAATTAAAAGCAAGTGACAATAGTTGCACCTACTCTTTTCTGGTCTCTTGCCCTAACTGGGCCGGAGATAGGGTGACCAGATAGCAAGTGTGAAAAATTGGGACAGGGGGTGGTGCTGTAATAGGAGTCCATATTAAAAAAAGTCCCAAATATGGGGACTGTCCCTATAAAATCGGGACATCTGGTCACTATAGCCGGAGAGGAAAAATGATTTACCCATAGTGTAAATCAAGGGAGGCATTTTCCTGCCTATAATTGACAGCGACATAGATTTGGGGGAAAGTTCTGTTTATTACATGAAGTGACTAAATATTGCCAAGCTGGGGCTGCTTTTCTGCGGGCATTTTTAATAAACTCTTCAGATCAGGGCTGGCGCTGAAATTTTACTTCTTTTGCTCCCTATTGTGGCACCCCCTCTCCCTTTTAGCCAGGGGGCCGAGGGCCAGCAACCGGAGAGATGCATCAGCAGCTCACACGCAGAAGCCTCACGCCCAGCACCATGAAGGTGAGGAGAGGGAGGATGGCAGCTTGCAACGCTGTTCCCGCCAGCCCTGTGCAATCATCAGCCTCACGTGCCAGGCCCGCGGACCTAGGGCGGTGCAGGGCGGGGAGCAACCCCCGTGCCAGGTCTGCAGCGTCTCCAGTGCGGCTGGGCACGGGCTGCCGCTGCCGCTGAGCGGGCTTGGCTGGGGGTGCCCGGCAGGGACCATGGCTCTGAGGAAGGCAGCGCGACCGCGCTCTGCATCAGGAAAACTAGAAACATTCCCCCGCGGCAGGTGAGCCCCCGTTTCCCCTCCAGCCTGCGGGCGCGGGCCGAGCCCCAGCGGGCTGGCAGCAGCAATGTTGTGGGGTCGCTGTTGTCAAGCAACCAGGCGGCGGCTTGCGCTGGCCAGGAGCCGCAGGTGCTCCCCGCGCCCGGCCCCGCTTCCCCTCGCCGCGGAACGAGGCGTCTGAGGGGCGTCCTGCGCCTTCGCCTCCCGGCTGTGTGCGGTCTCCGGGCTGAGCCGGCTCTCGCTCTGCAGTGCGCAGCCCGGGGAGTCGCTGCTCCCGCCCGGGAGCGCTTGCTGCTGCCATGGGGAAGGTTTTGTTGTAGGCGCTTAGAGAAAGCGGTGCCAAGTCCCCCGCTGCTCGGGACAGCGCGGGGGAAGCGATGAAAGAAAGGAGCATTGCAGTAAACACTGGGGGGAAGCTTTCGTGTTAATGTCCTTCGTTATTGCCAAGAGTTATTCCCCTTCCTTTCTTCTTCTTCTTCGTCTGCTGCTGCGATTGTATATGTCCCAGAACCCAATCTGATGCACAGTGCACAAGGTTAGGAGTACTTGTGGCACCTTAGAGACTAACACATTGATTGGAGCATAAGCTTTCATGGGCTACAGCCCACCACATCAGATGCATGGACTGGAACATATAGTAAGAAGATATATATACATTCAGAGAACATGAAAAGGTGGAAGTTGCCATTCCAACTCTAAGAGGCTAATTAATCAAGATGAGCTATTATCAGCAGGTTGTGGTTCTGAGTGTGCTTCAGGCTACAGCTTGTGTCCTGGTCCCATGTCTGTCCTGGTTGTTCCGGCGAGGGGTTGACTTTGGGCTCACCACTGCCGTAGTGCATTGTGGAGAATGAGGGACTTATTTACCTTTGTTTTTTCTAAATATCCTATGCCCCTCAGTTTACTTGTTTGATATTATCCTGGCTGAGTGCGTGGAAGAAGCTGTCGATGGGAAACGAACAGGAAACGAAACACTGACAGAGATAAGGCACTTCCAGACAGAATACCAAACATCCATACGGGAACAACTGGGGAACGCCCACTCACTTGGCTCCAGCCAAGTAGCAAGGTTTATTCTTCCCAGGCTTGAGCCTAGGGTACGAACCCACTAAAGACCCCACCCTACAGAGGAAGTGGGGTATTGTGTACATCTTGTACATGGTAGGTTGCAGGGTTGCTACTAGCAGTTCAGGCTTCTGTACCGAATAGGGAATGGCTACAGAGTGATGTGTCCGATGTGTTCACTTTAAGATCCTTTAATGCACTGCCAGCAGGGCCAGCTCTAGGTTTTTTGCTGCCCCCGCCCCCTCGCGTGCTTTTTTTGTTGGCTTTTACACGTGTTTGCACTTTGCAGTTTTGTTTTGACTGTTTAAAATAAAAAAATAAAAAAGAAACAGAGAATTTGTAGTGAAATAAAACAATTTCCTACTAGTGTAATTTTAACATTTAATTTTAACAAAAACACAATTACAAACAATTTGAGTTCAACTATACACTGTAATGAAAAACTTTAGTGTCTTCCAGTTTCTCATAAATTAAAAGAATTTATATGAACTGAATTTTTCTGTTTTTTATACTTGCATAGT